TGCGTACAAACCAATTTTTAACTTATTATGATGTTAGTATGCACGCGTACGTCTTAAATTGTACGTTTTACGGCTTATGTTTTTGATTGTGTGAACGGTCTTACAATACAAAGAAAGATTGTGTTGGACCGATAATTCGAAGATTCCCGACCCAGCACGGAAACTCTCGAGAATAGAAAAAATTATAGGAGAGCACCCGAATTTTTCCTACCACACGGATCATAATAAATTATATACAGATTCTCATTTTTTTCTAGTCACTTACTAATTTTTGTTTAAAGTTTGAATAAAAATTAATATTTATCGAATATTACCGTGCTGCATAAGAATTTTTACTTTTACTCTTCTTAATAAATATTGAATCTATAATAAAAATTTTAAAAGGATTACTAATTTTTCTTTGAAGGTTGTCTTAATTTTTTAGGGAATTGACATTTGCGCGTGGATTGTTGTGCTGAGCACGGTAATTTTTATTGGAATTTTTTCTCCGTGTACATACGTACGTACGTACGTACGTACATACATACATCTTCTTAAAAACTATCGATATGAACTCCTCACATGTTAAAACATCGAGATCTGTCAAAATTCCAGCGTCGCCAAATCGGACCATTACAATAACTTCCTAATGGGAAGTTAACAAATACTTGTGTGTGGACAATCAATTGTCCTGAATATTAAAACTTTCATGTTATAACTAATATTGCAAAAATATAATTTTACAATATACAATTTTTGGTAATTATCTCGTTAAGCTTACACCCCTCCGATTTCGTTTTTTTAGTATGTTATAGAGAAAATTATGCTGAAAAATTTGATATATACATATGGGGCGCGGGAACCATCCCTTCACATAGTTTTTAACTTCCCAGTAGGAAGTTATAGTAATGGGTCCAATTTTGCGAATCGCTAATTTTGACATATCTCCACGTTTTAAGGTCCCCAGAGTTGAATACGATAGTTTTTACGTGGACGTCTGTGTGTGTGTATGTACGTATGTGCGTTTGTGCGTATGTTCGTATGTTCGTACGTGCGTTCGGAATTATTTTTTGCCTCGATTATCTCGAGAACAAAAAATGATATCGACGTGGGACCAACTGCATTCGACGCGTAATTACGTAACTTAGAACTGAAATAGTTTTCAGGAAAATCGGTAAAGCCATTTTTTTGGCAGAATCAAAAAACTAAAAAAAAAAGGAAATTACTTGAATTTTGCAATTTATGAATTATACCATTTTTTAGACGGAATTTCGAGATCTTTTGAAAAATATAAATATCAAATGTTTAGAATAATTGTACAGGAATATGATGACAGTATTTCATAGAAAAAAAAATTTTTAAAAAACAAAATCAGCATTAAAAAAATTTTAAACTTGTGTTGGGATGGAGAAAATAGCGTTGAGGATAATAAAATAGTCAATGATTATTGTTAATAATAAGAAATTGTGTTCATAACAATTGAACATTGTTACTAACAAATGATTATTGATCATGATAATATTTAAATAACAAATTTTAAATTCGTATAAATAATAAAAATAGGGACCCTTTCTATATATATGAGTACTTTTAACGCATAATTTTTTCGTTTACTAAAAAAATGTTACCAACCGTATGACATAAATGAAAACATACTTTTTTCGTGTATAACAATGAAATTCGTTGTAAATAATGAAAAAAAGGATCTATGAGGTACATTCGAATTCTTCTAACGCACAATTTTTTCTTTTACTGAAATAAAGTAACTAACCATATCAAATGAATAAAAACACGCATTTCGTTTATAACAATTTCAATTGTTATAAAGAATGGAAACAGGTTCGATTCAAATTGTTTTTTTATTTTTTCCACTGGGAAGTTGGTCGTGTGGACATTTCGGGTCGCACCCAGACCACTGCAGAGCACTGATATTTTTTCAACTTTGAAATTCTAGGGGTGTAAGCTTAACTAGATAATTACTCTATTTTTCTTTTATTTGAAACCAAAGAAAATTTAGTACGTAACGCATGAAAAATTTTCTCAGGAATACAGTAAAATTTACTAGGAAACCCACTAAGAATTTTTACTGGGTTACCAAATAAAGTTTCTTTAGGTTTGCGCATGTGGTCCCGCAGTAAAAATTACAGGATTCGCCCGTAAAATTTCATGAATCTTTTTCTCCGTGTACTTGCAAAAAAAAATGTATGTATGGAAATTAATGAAATTTTTCTACATATTAATTGAACTAAATTTTTTTATTATTTTATTTTTTTATTATTATTGTACAATAAATTAAGTAATTATAATAAATAAATAATTATTAACAATAACAAACGTCCCACGAGGGAAACGTCGATGAACTTTCCTACTGAGGAATAGCGCGAGAGCCCGCTGCAAAATCTTGGGCCTGTCGAGTTACCGCATGAAACATTTTTTATTGTGAAGAACTCACTATTTTATTTTCAAAACTTAAAAGGCCGCCATCCGAAATGGTGCACAAAATTTATACGATTTTTTAAATCTTCCAATATAAGTACAGTAATCGTACCAGAAGAGTTGCCGCTACAAAGTAAGCTTACAATTTACTACTTATTATGTAAAATAAAATTAAAGGTACTTCGAATCTAAACATAATATCTATATGTAAAGATACTATTACTTTATAATTATCATCCATGCTAAAAACAGTATTTAATCATGTTTATTTTCAATATTATTTCAGTTTTCTTTATCTTTCAGACAAACTTGGTTTAAAATTATATTAATTTGTTTTCTCACCTAATCAATATTAAATCTTGATTTCAATTCTAGGAGTTTGCCCAAAATATTAGAGTGAAATAATGATTTCATTTGCAATGCATAAACGGCATGATTCTAAGACATTATTTGCGGCTCTGGTCATTGCCAATATCAAACATCAATACCAATCATGACTGCAATTCAAATAGGTTGATAAATTGCTATTAGACAGTTACTATGCATCCCCAATAGTAGGAATTTCTCCGATATTTCTGTATTTAATTAAGGGATTGACCTTAAATCAATACTTACAATCAGTTTTAGTCAATAACGTAATTAGATTCAAAGCTGTATAGAAAATTCCAATAGTGTATATAAACATCTCTCAGTGATATAAATAGCTTACGATGATTTACTGAACCATTCAGATTATGGTCATGATTTAAAGACGACTTGGTATATCTGGTATAGGATATTTGTCAGTTGTTTTGTAACGTTGTGTTGACAATTGAATTGGCGATTCGTGTGCATTCCACTCATCTAACTTGAATTGTAGAAATATATCTCACTTGTTGCACTATTGTAGATCTCTTTGTGCCTAGCTTTATATTGGAAATATTCGAATTTGTACCAGTCCAAAGAAGAACTATGTATAGATAGAAATACAAAAGTAGAATAACGTAAATATAATAGAGTATCATGTAATGCCTATGCCTGAGCTCCTTTCACAAAGTTAATTGCATCGAAGAGAAAAAGAAAATCTTCCAGTTCACAACTGTGTCTCATTGAGGTCTCTTTACAGACTGCAAGCTTTTCAAGGGTTCCTGGATGAATTCTTGTGATTCAACGAGTTTAGCTCACTGACCTAGTGCACGTTCTTTTCACGCCAGAGAAAGTTGAATGTCTTAGCTTGCTTTACTTTTTCTCTTTTGTCCTATTTTAGTTTTTTAGCTTACGTTGATAAACTAACAACTGTACTGCCGATTCCCAGGGGCTTGGAAAATGTTGTATTCTTCTCAAAATGTTTATTAAATATAATAGCAATTCGTTTTTTTTTTTTTCTAGACTTATCATTTTAAATAAAAGTTCATACAGCTTTGCAGATAAGTCTGCTATCTCATTATAAGTAAAAAGTTTTCTCTAGTATTTATAATAATCTATTCACCATCAATCAGCTTTTGTGGCATTCAGATGATTTTTATTACATCGTTTAACGACGATCCTTGTAAATTTGAAACTGATAATCCTGAACGAACTTTTGACATCTCATAGATTTTTATAATGATTGGAAGAAACTTTAAGTAAAACCAAACCACGACAACGTTTGAATTTTTAATGGCTTACAGAACAAATTGATTATGAAATTTCATTATTTATAACAATTTCCAAATTAAGAGATAAATTTACTGATTCATGACTTTTGGAACTGTACCATGATGGTGTAATAAATATATATTGTAAAATATTTGTTGTTATCAACACGTGACTGAATTGTTTACTTTAGTTTAGGACTGAGACTATAGGGCATATCAGACATCATATTTGATCTTTTGAATTGATTCTGACATTGTAATAAACTATTTCTTTAAATTAGTCTTTTTTATTCTCTTATATTTCACAACATATATTTGTAGTTTCATGAAAGAGTCAATTTAAATGGTTAATTAATTCACTTCAGTTAAGTAGTAATATAATTACATTATATTAATATTTTTAAAAATAAAATTAAATAAGAAATTAAAGATTATTAATAATACTTTGAAATCATTTGAGAAGAGTGCTTTTACTTCATTAGAAATTTTTTAATAAAGAACAGCTATTTAAATCGCTTCAAGAATTACACTTACGATAAATTCGTTGTTTTAATACTGCTTTTGTCATGGATGAATTTAATGTTGTTCGTATGAATTAGAAATTAAGTGAGTGACTAACAAAGTCTAACGATTGGAATAAATTATTTTCATATTTATGAGCTTTTAACTTCATCGAATTGAATATTTAATGTCCAGGGCTTTATATATAATATTATTCATACATCTTGCTGATAAAATTATGAGAATTTCTCTTCAAAAGAATCGATTCAAAAAGCTTGTGATTATTGAAAGATATTGATTGATAAATGTCATTCGATATTTATTATGTTAATTCAAACTCCAATTTTTATCACAGCATTTCTACTTCAAATAATAGAAAAATCAACATCTAGTTGTAGCTTTATAAGACTATATCGTTTTCCATTCTCTTTCTGTCATTTGGTTGTTTAATTTACATCTTCTCTGTAGGTATTCCATTGACGGCATCAATTATGGCCATTTTTACAGGATTCATTTTTATACTTCTGTTATCGATTGGGAACTCATTACCACGTCCTATAAAAATTGGTAAGTACAGTAGATCACGTTAAAAAAATAACTACAATAAGAGACATGTTTCAATATATATTCTTTCTGTAAGTTTGCTTAGCATTATTATCAAATTTATAGTATAAATTGATATCATAAACATTATTTATAATATTAAATTTACTTTTTAAAAATTATCCAATCAATACTATATTCTACAATTAACAAAATACTTTTATCGAATACCGAAGACTGTTAGTGAACTTTATCTTTATTCAATAACTTATTAAAAATAACAATAAGACAAATCACGTCAAGTGGACCCCCCTTTTTCCACTCAGTCACATAATTAAAATATAAATTTATAATCAATAAGCACTAATTAACAATAATCATTACCCAAAACGATTTTTTAAAATTCCAATTTTAAGATACATTTTTTAAATAATGAATATTCTCTGAACTTTTAATTAATAAATTTATTCTTAGTTAACTAACTATGAGAAATAGATAAAATTTTTAGGACTTACAGAGTAATATCTGAATATTATAAAAATAATTTTTAAATGATAAATCTACTTTTTATTGTATTTTGAAAAAATTTTTAAATAAACAATTAGAAGAATTAACAAATTCTCAATGAAAAAATTTTTTTTTTATTAGTTTGATGTATTAGACATTAAAGTAAAATATTGCTAAATAAATTCCTACTGCCCGACGTTTGTTTAAACAATAATAATTTTTTATTGAGCATCGGACCGAAGCTACGCTGAAGCATGCGTGACTAAATCAACTAGGACTTCAATTGAAATCGTTTTCTATTTTTTTTATGAATATTAATAAATGATTTTTTTTATTAATAACTATAAAATAAAGATAAAAAATGTTCAAAGTAGAGCTAAATAGTCTAATGAGTTTTTTTTGTAACTAAATCAAGCAATTTAAACTCTTATATAATTTATAAATTTTCATATGATACTTTGATAGTCAATTTTTATATAATAGGTTGATTGATTTGTTCAATAGAAATTTATAATTACAAATTTACATTTTAACAGATTGAAGTTTTGTATCATTGATATATATTTACAAGATTGATTATTTACAAGATTAATTATTTACAATGTTAAATGATATATTATGATTGTGGATTAATTTTTATAATTTTTTACACGTATGAAATCACCTCAACTCTTTTGTCCGTTACAGGAGTGAAATTATTGAGAAAAAATATAAAGCAGAAGAATTTTTAGACAGTTTGGAACAAAAATGGTAAGAATTGTTGAGACGAATTTGTTATAAACAATTAAAAATTGTATTTATTGAATAAGTAATGTGTTTATCCTATGGATTTGGATGCTCTCAAAAAAATAGTATTATTAATGATGGGTTATGACTCTTGACAATAACGCATTGTTTATAACAATACGAAAGTAATGGGTATATCACGTGTCTTTGGATGTTTTGAACAACCATTGATTGTAACTATTCAAATTTGTTATGAACAATTACTAATGGGAAGTTCGTCATGTCAGCACAGACAAAGTGTGCTCAGACCTATTTTTTTATATTCAAATTGATTAAAAATTAGAGGTCAGGTTATAAAATTTACCGCGCCAGCACAATAATTTGTCTATTGCTGACCGATAGATTATATAAGAGTAACATCTTGCGCCCGGTTTACCGTGCCGCACGGTAATTTTTCTTGGAGTTTCTAATATTTTCTATTGAAATTTTTTCTCCGCCCGAGTAAAAATAAATGATGATTTTCTAACGGGCGAACACCGGCCGTCCGGCTTTCCAAAGGGTATATGATGGCCGTAAAGCCTGTAAATATTATTAACGAAAACACATACGGGCCTATGACGGCTAAATTTGAGAAAAAAATTTGAATGGCCATAGACTTAGCTATACACGCGGGCATACGACGGAAAATTTTCAGACAAAAAAAAGATGGCCTTATAGGCGGGCGTACGAAGGCAAAGCACATGAGGCTATAGACAAACATTCATTATTATTTTTTAGATATCTAAGCGATTTATCAACAATTAGTCAAGAGACATGATTTTGTAGTAAAATCTTAGGCTGCTTATTTTACAAAAAAAAAAGAATCTGTAGAAGCTGGAGAATTTATAGTATGCTTAGATTTTGCTAAAAATTATTCTTTCTTCGTTCAAAATGCGATTCAATCACATCATTGGACAAATGATCAAGCGACACTACATCCTTATGTTATTATAGAGAAAATGAAAAGATAAAACACGCAAATTATGTAATGATTTCTAAAAAATTAATCACGATGCAAGCTTTGTTTATTCATTTAATTTTAAACTAAATTTCTAACAGAAAAATTTGGAGTTGACAATGTTGAAAAAATTACATATTTTTCGGATGGAGCAGGTTCACAACATAAAAACAAATACAATTTTGCGAATTTACTATATCATCAAGTCGATTTCAGTGTTGACGCAAAATGGAATTTTTTCGCTACATCCCATGGTGAAGGATCATGTGATGGATTAGGTAGGAGTGTAAAGAGACATGCATACCGATCTAGTCTTCAGATCTAGTCTTCAGCGTCATAGTGGTAAACACATTGCAACCGCTTAGTCATTATTCGAATGGAGGTGTAACTTTTTTAAAAATATTGAATTTGGATACTGCTCACAAGAAGAACATAATATCCATTAACAAAAATACAAACCACGTTATGAACAAGGAAAAACAATTAAAAATACGCGTCAGTATCATTATTGTAAAGCTATTGATACACGTCCGAGTAAAAATAAAAGAATTCTGGCGAAGGGTCGTATCTAGGGTATACGCCGTCTGTAATTTGAACAAAGTCTTCGGCCGTATGCCGGCCATCAAACGGCTCGTTGCCGGACTATACGGTCATACAGAGGCCAACTGGCGGTAATATACCGGGCGTTCGATTATCGTCACGAGCCTAGGTACGCGGTATGCCAACTATGACGGGTATACGACGGTGATACAATGGGCCACGCGGTTGCCATGACGGGTATACGACGGCAGTGTAGCGGCTGTTATGATTCTATATCTAATTATAATTAGATATTAACTTACTTATATTCGAATTAATTTCAGTATGAATGAATGAACGGGTGTGACTGATATACCAATGTATTTATTCGATAATATATTTAAAATTTATTGTCTTCACTAGTACAAACAATTATACATAAAACGTAATTACTTTAACTTATAGCTGGGAATTTTGATTATTAATGTTAGGTGATAGAGAATTGGGATGTCCATAAAATGATTGATTTAATGTGGCTGATGGATTGTCTATAGAAGACCATGAAGAATTGTTATAAATTTGCTGTGGATAATATTGTGGTGGATAATATTGTTGCTGATGATACTGCGGTTGGTGTTGGTTTTGAGGATTTCCTGTTCTTGGTTCTTCAGATCTTCTTCAGCAATAAATACTTCGCTGCCGGGATGTAACTCAACCTGAATAGTATGATATTGAATTATACAATGTATGATTGTTAATCGAGAATATTTTTATTATAGAAAAAACCTTACCACTTTATTTTTTACTTCAATGCCTGGATCATCACAAGCTTCTTTTAATGACTGAAGCACCTGATCGAATAAACTCACGAATTGTGGTGTGACTAGAAATGAAAAATGTGTCAGCGTTAATACAACGAAGAGTATTTTCTAACTCTATTTTTTGTTACTTCTATTAAAAAAAAAGGGAAAGTGAATATAATTATAATAGTAAACTTACTTTGCGATCTCCAGTTTTTGCAAACGCACTTTACACAATTAAAGCATCCGCTTCGATTCTCTTGCATGTGAAGATCAACGTTAATTGCCTCTTCTTTTTCTTCTATTAATGAATGATTATTCTGTTGTTTGTGTAGTTTAACTTGGCTACAAGGCTTGGGTAAATTGAGTATCGAAATATCAATTATTTCTTTCTCCTTATTTTGATTGTTGGATTAAATTTTTTTAGCTTTTTTAACGTTCATTTTTTCCTCCATGATTGGTTGTGGCCAGACTTTTTTGATGATTTTTCCATAAGTATCGACGGTGAGAGAATCAACGTAGTGTTTATTTTCTAAAAATATTCAATGCATCATTAACCAAGTATATTATATCTCAATGTTGTAAATTGTTTGTGTGATTCGTTTTTATTTGTGTACAGTGAAGATTTTCTTATTACCCACATGTATTTTAAAAAAAAGGTTGCGTAGTAGGTATAAAACTCAGGTCAGACGGGGAATTACCCACGCTCTGTACCAAAGTACAGCAATTTACTTTTTTCGTGTGAAAGTTGGAAAACCTGACAATTAAAAAATGTTTAAACAATTTACTTACGTGAGATTTTTAATAATTTCGCTTCATATAGCGTTGTGATTCCTTTGTCATCCATCCATGGGAGATCTCCTTTCCATCCGACTGTGATCTGCTTCGATTTTATCACTTCACTCAAGTTATTATCACTTATTGTTGAAATTTCACAACTTTCTGGCCAAAATATCAACGCCCACGGTTTTTTTTTTCATTCAATTTCATCAATATTCTAATGAAATTGATTTTTTGATTACGAATAACTGGCACTAAGAATAATTCCGAAAACTTTGTATGATTCACTGTAAATACATTAGAACACTTCAACAAGATGAATGTACACTGACAACTGAACAGTGATTGTCGCCCAAACGATAAACCGAGCCTAAGTGCCATCTTGAAATTTTCTTAAACAGTTCAACATTACCGCCATTGCTGTTTTGAGATAATACGAAACAGAAAATTGTAACCAGTGAAATTGTGATTAGTTTACGTTGAAGGAAGAAAAATATCGTTTGTTGAAGTTATATAGAGAATAGAAAATAATAATAGGGGGCTGCAAAATTAGTATTCCAAGTTTAGTAGAATTAAAGAATTTCAGTAATTTGAATGACTATTGTCGCAGAAGACGCACAGAGCTATTAAAAAGAATGAAACATCCTCAAGATTGGCCGGAACGCAGGTAAATATTTCTTAAAGTTCAGTAATTT